CATTCTATTTATCATGTCTGTTCTTTCTAGCTGGAAATAATCCTCCTATAAATTTTTATTATGTCATCACGCTTATAGATTTTCAACTTCATATTTTGATAAATATAATTAGTCAGAGATATTCACGAGAATCATGTGATGACTATCTTTGATGAAGAAAACACCATTTACTTCAATCTACAAAACAAACCAATCAAAAACCATAAAATGACCAATTTGGAGGGGAGATGAGCGTCGAGTGTAATTCCCCACATATTAGTCAATCGGAAAAAATAATTATTATATTAACTAATCTAGGTTGACAAGTGATTCGTGTGCCTAGTTCTTCTTAAATAATATTTGTATAGGTAATTGAAAAGACTAATAATATTGTACAAATATTGAATTACTTATAAGAAAGAAAATGATAAATATAAAAATTAAATTATTCAATAATAATGATTTTGGAGTATGCGACCCAGGATGCATATTTTAATTGATATGCATTTATTATAAATGCTGTTGATGTGAGGATTAAATAATTTCCGAATTCTATCAAATATATTAGTTATAGACAGAGGCGTTTGCATGTTTGAAATCCTTGCACCTATTCCGATCCCATTGACTGTGTTTTTAGTTTATAGAGATCAACCTTAATTCCATAGCAGGTGAATCTGATTCCTGTATGCTCTCATCTTGGAAAGTGCATTTAGCAATTCCTCCGCTCTAAGCTCTCAATATACCTTTCTCTACACGCTATATGTTCAAATTTTCGCACACTCTCACTCCACTCTCTCATCACACTCTCGCTAACTCTTCAGTATAGAGAATTTCTCGTGAGAATCATCAATAAATTCGTGCAGCTATAATAACATATAAGTGAAGATGGTATCTTATATAAAAGAATACCTACTAAGACTACTAGAAGGTCTATACAACAGATATGGAAGACGTTATAGAGATAGAAAACTATTAAAGTAGACACTATTGTGATATAAATGAGAGGCAACAATAGGATTCTCTTAAAACATTATACTTTGGATAATATCGTACATAGTATAGAGTATACACCAGTATCTACTTGCTTCTATGACTAATCTATTCAGTTGCTCTCTCTAATTAAAATCAGCAAGAGCAGTTATTATCTTGGAGTTATAGAGTCATTATTCTAAAACTGTTAAGGTCGCTCTGCTTCCATCTTTATGTTGAGTTCACATAGAGGAAACAAGCCAAGGTGTTGACACTGAAATGTCAAGGATGGCACTATAATTTAGGTATTTATATGCACTTGAACAAACTACCATTATAATTTACTCATTTCGTTGTCATTGGTACTGTATGTTTTTATATATGTGATATCTGAATAACATTCTCCTCTATTCGTAGCAATCTGAGCACCAGCCTCCTATACAACGGTGACACTCGTCTTTTATTTGTGAAAACCTCACACCGGTCCAAGGTGGAACGCATAGCTCCATGACGCTCTAATCCGATCGATCGGACTTTTATATGCAATCTTGCATTGCTATATGTTACTATTTACGGTTTAAGTAGGCTGTAACCAAGATAAGAGTAATTAGTTATTCCTATGGTTTTGTGACATTGTATAAGAGGACGCAATTTCGACTATCTATTACCAACTATGAATAATAGGAGTGACTAATGTATATAATTGGCTTAACGAGTACGCTCCATTACTTATAATGTATCAATACGAGAGATACATACTAGATTTCTTCGGATGAATTTAATGATCTATGTGTTGAGGATTATATATAATTACCCCTGCTGATCATCTATCTGTTTGGATAAGCAAATTGAAGACGGCTCTCAAATATAAACTCATACTTCATAGCCGCATCAGAACTAAACCAGATCACATATGTGCACTTTATAAATGAAAATCATGATAACACAAGCCTAAATTGCTTAATATAATTAGACCAGTATGTACTTTGTAACATCTGCCAAATGTAACGATGCCATTTGGCGAGCAATCTGATGTACTTTACATATTTGGAATACTGTAAATTTGACTCTTCATATTCAAAATGTGAAGGTGTTTTTTCTTTGGATTATCCTCAGTGCTCACTATTTCGATCACCGCTGTATATGATTGAAATTTCTCATGTATGAAAGACATATATTTTGATATAGGAAATTCTCAGTATTACTGATTTGATATTATCACGGCCCTAGTTTTGATTGAGACGATCTAGGTGGTATTTTAAGAATGTAGAGATACGAGCGTGGTGTGAGAGCCCGACTGTCGCTTATGTGATTTTAAATGAAGGAGACGAAATAAACACGTTTAGGTACTTATTGATTATCATTAGACAAAATTTCTTTGTTTATGTGTGTTGTTAGATTGATTGACAGACACGCAATAAGTAACACACATTTGGATAGAAGTCTCACTACCTGCGGCTATTATCTCACTTGAGAGGTCACAGATAGATAAGATTAAAAAAGGAAGAGAAGAAGATCCGACCATCTTTATTCGGTAAACCATTAGTGTTAGTGTACTCTAGCCATTAGTCGTCTATTCATTAAATTTAGGTAATGTAATCATAATATAATATTAAGATAGCATTACCCAGCATTGCCTTAAGATTTACACAATCACAGGCTTCTCTTGATTTCGGCACCTCTGAGTAAAATTATGTGATAGCATTGATGCTTTCATGCGTCACCATTGCTACCACCATCTTATTGTAGGTGAGACATATGTGGTAATATGATCTCATTTCTCTCACACTAAGCCTGAACATCGGCCTATCAACTATTCTCACGCACACTCACCAGTGCATTATTATATTCACATGGAACGAGAGTATATGAAGGATAGGCTCCATTTGGATAGTATATACTAATCGATTCTCGACACCTACTTCCTGCGATGTATCCGCTTCGAGTTTAGCCTTACAACTATTTCTGAATTTTTAGGGTAGGAAGTCAGACGGCAGACAGTTAACGTAAAGGTGCAAAGTCTAAGTATAACAGAGTTCTATCATGAACCAGAGTCAATGTTATCTCTAGCACTAGGTTATTATATCTACTTCTCATATGACGTATATAACCCTTGCGTCAATATTATCTTAGCGAGCTATGTTCGAAGTACCATATAGAATGGAGAATAAGTGATGGGATAGAAGAGTAATGATCGCAACTAATGATACATAATTACAAAAAAGGTTCGATAAAGACAGAGTGTAAAACGAAGAATTGGTAGAGGAAGAATCATCCATATTACGCAGTGAGTTTAATATGCACACCTAGTGTGATTGGATAGTCGCTCTACGAAGAATTTTGACGTTTTATATAGAGAGAACCTTACCTATTGTTAGCACAGGTTAGACTAGTAAATACCAGAGTATAGGTGAAGAATAGTGCTAGTCCTGGTAGACGAGAAATACTGTTAGGTGTAAGAACTAGAGTTAAAGTTATAAGAATCAATTGTATATGGTATTGTCACATTTCTTAGAAGTACTACAACTCACCTAGAACATGTTTAAACATAGTAAACATCACAATAATTTACTTTCATTATGGTAGATAAGAGAAGTAAATACAGTCTAATGTCATTGAGCGATTTAATCAAACTTATACAGTGGACTAACTTATGCTATTCACCATTGCATATTCTTGAGTCAAATGTTACATTATTCCTGTTGGAAACCGAATATTTTGTCCTTCTTTATATAATGAATCAGCACATTCTTGTGTCTGAATGGAATTGGCTTATAGGATTGCGTACTATGAAGATGTCTTAATGTTGTTTTGGTCATGTTCATACTCGTAGTAAGAACAGAAATTTAATGACTATAGAGGAACATCAAATATGTATGGCGTGAGGCACGATATATTTTGCTGTGAATGAAGGGCTTCTATTTCTTTAACAAAATTGCATAGATATTTTTTGGGCTCTTTTCATTGTTCTGCTAAAGAGCTGAATGGGTTTGTTGTTTTAGTGAGTATTAGCAATATGGATTATAGATGATGAGGCATATGCAAGTAGTATCTTCGTGTGAGTTACGCCTACAGATGATGCGAACTTGAGAGAGCTAGAGTTCCTTTCTGAGTCCATTGCCTTGTTTCTAAAAATACACTTGATCATTAGCGGATAGAATAAATATTAATTTGCAAAAAAATTATACCAACTGCAATAACAAGTAGATATACAGCTAATCAATGAGCCTGTATCTGCCGATCTAACCTAATTAGAGGAGGGTCTACTTCTCAAGACTCTAAGTCCACAGAGAGTCACCATAGGACACTGCGATATCCTCATATTCCACCTTGATTGTGCTATAGAGACACTGATGTTTGACGTTCTCATTCTAATATCTCCATGATGTCCTATTATCAAGCGCTGCTCCTACGAGAAGATGGCGCAAACATAGAAAATCACTACAAGTCATTGGTCATGTTTGCAGAGTTGGTGTTTGGTTCATGTCAGGAATGAACGTAGATTTTTTACATGTCAGAGAGTTCCAAAGTACCGCGGGTAAGTTCGGTACTTCTAGCATTCTTCTGCTCTCGCGCTAGTTATCTCTCTCTCTTCTGAGTACTCCTCTACGACTAAGGAGTAGTTGCGCTCTATTATCCGCATTATTGAAGATCTATTCACTAGTGCGCCCTTCCATTGTGAAAGACATGCTGCGCGCACTCTCATACAACTCGCATAGCGCCATGTGGTTAGTACACACGATACCCGTTGAGACATGCATATTATATTGTATGTCAATACATAGCACCTAATAGTAAGGGGCCACCGAAGAGATTTAATCAATTTAGTTCCTTTTCTGTAAATACGACAGGAGAAGATGGGAAGAGGCAGGATGCGCGGAACAGCGTTTGAGAGATGTGCGCGGAAGATTGTGGTTATTATGTTGTATACTATAGACTCTACGTATAATTGTTCAGGATTAAATAGCAAAATTTGGTTGTGTAAAATTACATTTTTGTCCCATATTTCTTATTTTTGTTTTAATTAGAGGGTTAAACTGGTAATTTCATAGGATTTTGATTATACAACGAGTGTTTTATTAATTAGTAGAGATATATATGGTCAATATATTGTCCACGATGGTTCTATCACCATATAATATATATCCCGCCTTATTAGCAGAGATCTCGTTTCATTGTAGCACATGAGCCGATAGGCTCCCGTAGAGTTTATGTATTTACCATATAGGACCCTCGCATTCTAGAGAAAATGGAGAGAAATGGTTAAATGTATAAGAGGTTCTATATGGTGAATTCATAATCCCTACGATAGTTTTATAGCTATCTGTTTTTGCTACAGTGAGTATTTGCTAAGAAGGGGCTCCTCTATATGTAGACATTAATTCCATGATTAATTAATATTTCTAATTTATTCTTTATAATATATTATTGCAGTATGGTACTACCCAAGGCAGCCTTCGTCCTCAAGGTGGGTTATAAATTTTTACATGTTGCCTTCATATAGATCTTCTACTTTTGGCAATGGCAAGGAACTAATACAAGTCCTAGTAAATAATATTTTGGTTTAATGGAGTTTAAATCTTATTAAAAATTCACAATCTAATTCATTTTCCAAATGTTTTGTTTAATTAATTGTGTTTAATCAGAGTGTGCACCGCGATGTACAAGTCGGTGCTCGGCTACAGCATACAAGAAGCCTTGTTTGTTTTTCTGCCAAAAGTGTTGCGCCAAGTGCTTGTGTGTGCCTCCTGGAACATATGGAAACAAACAAGTTTGCCCTTGCTACAATAACTGGAAGACCAAGAGAGGAGGACCAAAATGTCCCTAAGGACTTTACTCCAACTTATGCATTCTACATATATAATAGTTAGTCAAGCTCTCTTATAATATAATTTGCAACTTAAACCTAATAACATGATGTATGCTCCAAAATATCCACCTTAAAAAGGTAGAGGCTTGAGGGTTCGACTAATGTATTAGTTATGTGATTTGATAAATATATAATTGTATTTTTTTAGAACGCTCTAACTTCAAATCTCATGGATGAAAATGTTCTAGTTAACAAGCTAAATAAACCTTTGATATCGTTATTAACACCTAGAAGTTGGAAAATCATGAAATTCATGCAAAATCCAACTATCAATAAAAAAAATTTGTACAAGTATTAGATAAAGAATAGTGATTATTGGTAGTAAATTAAACAAGAGTTTAATTGGGCCTATCATCGGAACTTTTTCCCGAAAATAAATATTTCAGGGGCGGGGCGTTACAGTAGGGTTCCGTTGTTAGCTTAACAATTATATGTAGTTTTCCCAATTACTTATGACTTATATATGCATAATTTGAAGGGTTTTTCCTAATGTAAATTCTAGCCCCAAACGAGAACATATATCAAACATGCAACCCGTCCGGACGTTTGATCAAATCTAAACATGTAAGGCTCATTAATCTTTATGAAAACCTTTTGAAAAACCAAGCAACCCTTAAGACATAGTATTTGCTTTAAGTCAAATTACAATTATTAAGCACTTAGCCAATTTCAGGGAAAGTTTCCAACCGAAATTGCATCAAATTACTTGTCTAAACATCCTAAGGGTGATCAAGCATAAAGATAAATAGATAGTTTAAACACGATGATTAATAGTTCAAAACATGTATGCATAAGATCATAAACAAATTGAAAAGAAACTACATATTCTTGCTAAGGCTTGTGGCCTCACCCTAGAAAAAAAATAAATAGTTACACATATTCATAATTGAAGTCCAAAGAAAATATTAATAAGAAGCAAAGGATTGAAAAACACTTTGTATAAAATCTACAAATCTTAAAAGCTATAACTGAATTCTGATGTGAAAATTAACTTGACACACAAATTAAACCCTATTGTTGACAATTGTAGCAAAGATGTAAGTAGGGATCGTTTTAGACCGGGGATTAACTAGGGATGCTAATCAACACAAATAAAACTCAAAAACACTAAACTAGACACTATAGACTCAAAACTGACTTAAATGACTCAAAACAACAACAAACAATAAAAAAGACTCAATTCTAGACCTAACAAGTGATTTTGACAAAAATAAAACTTAACTTGACTCAAAAGACTAAAAGAAAACAGATTTTGACTCAACTAACAAGACTTAATGAATGGGGGATTGTTTTTGACAAGTTTAAAACTTAAAACAGAAACTTTGCATAAAACACTTTATAAAAATGAGTTTGGTGAATTGAAAAGGGTGAAAGGCTAGTTAGAGGATCCTTCTCCACACATGACATATGCAACACAAACCAATTTCCAGTATTGTTCCCTTTTGTCTATGAATGACAACACCCCAAGTTAACCGTGACAGCACAAATTAACCATCAGATTTTCCTTAACTCATTGAATTGGACGCGATACGCATCACAACCAAATTATCCTTCTCAAGTCCCCTAACTATGAAAAGCATGATAGAAAACATATCAAAGGTCATTAAGTTCTTTGAAAATCATAAGTGTTGACGAGACATTCGTAACTATGAAAAACATGATACTCCTGCCAAGGATTTACTTAACACGATCGTGACTAGCAACCTTCACTACTTGTGAATATAAGTTCATAACGATTAGGTGAAATTCCCTTATACTCTAGCATCAAGTTCATGCATGCAAATTAAGTGTCGACCCTTAATGAACATACATAAACAAGTTTTAATAACTCAGATAAGCAAATCACATTCAAGACTCAAGAAACAATAACTGGATGTAATCAATTCATATATAGCATATAATCATGGCTTCGAATTCACCTCCAACTATAAAGAAATTAGTTCCACATGTCTTTAAAAACTGAAGATAACATTAAATTAAACAATGAAAATAAAAGATAGAAAACACCTAAGAAAGCTCCAGCAATCCTATGTTGAATGACAATGCTCGGCAAATGGCTCCTTCTCCTTGCAAAGCCACAACACAATGAGGTGTGTATGGTGAATGGTGTAGAAAAATATGGTAGAGGGTGGTGGTTTGAATTGTGGCAGAAAATATGTATTTATAGGGAGAAAAGGCACAACAAAAAGGGTTGAATTAGGACTCCAAATCAGCAAAGAACAAGGACAATTCTCATCAGATTCCAAGGATGAAAAGGAGTAGGAAATTCGTCAGATTTCTAGGGGGAAGAAGGATCAGGTTATTTGCATTATTTCATGGCTTCTAGAATAAGATATCAGGCATTCTAATGTGATAAGTAGTCCCCCTTGCAGCTGGATTTAAGGCATGATAAGATAAGGTTAGTTTAGATAAGATAAGGCTGGATAAGGTTTTGGATAATGTTCCTTCTTTTGAGCTGATTCCTTATCTTCTTTGTCTTGGATTTATTTTCTTCATCTTTTCAGCACATTCCTAGCCTCTTGAACTTCAAATTCGTCCATCCATCTTGCTCCACTCATAAGCTATCCAATTGATGCCCAAAACTGCTCCAAAATGCTCCAAATTGCATTTTCTTGCCAACTTTGTCATTTGGACCTACAAACACACGAAAATAGCTTAAAACACTATAATAAATACAAACTAACTACGAAAATGCAAGAAAACAATCTAACTAAGTCACATAAATATGCTCCTATCAAATTCTCTCTCCAAATCGCATAGAAAGGAACCCTGAGGTCGGCCAAGCTTATTTATTCTATAGTAAAAATCCTTCCTAGAAAAAGTCTTGGAATAAAACTAGAAAATAAAATAAATCAAGATAACTTAGGAAACAAAATCCTAATCAAACATGGAGAATCAACCACTTCAAAGATTTGCCACGTTCATGGGCTAAACCAGCTCCAAAACTGGCCCAAAGGTCTTGTTACAGATTCAGACGTCTTGAACAACTTTGTAGAAGGGCTCAACTCCAGCAAACATCATCTTGACTGTTAAAAAGCCTAATTAATCATGAAACAACACTCTAGCAGTTTTGCACACTCGTCATTTATTTATTCACCATAATTCAACGGCTTGTCATAAAAATGTGAAACTTTGACACAAACAACTTCAAAGACTCATGACAATGATCCAATTGGAATTACTTCAAAATTCATCCGTTTGATCATTAGAAATACAAAACAAAGTATCAACATCTCACCAAAATGTATTAAGAATAGGATAAAATATATAATATGAAAGTGACTCATCAATATTCACATTTGATTTGACATTATTTCATGATTTAATCACGTGTGTATGTGTGTGTGTATATATATATATCTGATCTAAGTAGCCATGAAATGTAATTAGGTGTCACTCATGTCTTGTGGAATTAAATTAATTTATAGAAATCTAAAACTAACTTACATTTATATTGTAATGTCATGATGTGGACTTGTAATAACCTACATTTATATTATAATAAGATGTTTATGGTGTATGAGTAGATTATAGTAATGATCCTTTAACTTTAACTCAACAGGGGCAATGGCCCTTCAACTAAAAATTCATTACTATTAGTCCCTCAACTCATCAAAACGTGCATCTATGGTCCCTTAACTAAAAATCCATTACCATTGGTCCCTCAACTTTAATCCAACTGGAGAAATAGTCCTTTAACTTTAACTCAATTAGAGCAATGGTCCCTCAACTTTAACTCAATTGCATCAATGGTTCTTCCAACAGAACTCATTTTGACAAAATTTTGACGAAATCAATGAAAATGACCATAGCTACACTTTTTGATGAGTTGAGGAACCCCAATTGTAGCAATGGTCCTTCTAACATAACTCATTTTAACAAAATTCTGACGAAGTTGACGAAAATGACCATAGCTACACATTTTGACAAGTTGAGGGACCAGTGGTAATGAATTTTTAGTTGAGGGACCATTGCTTCAATTTGATTAAAGTTGAGGGACCATTGCTTCAATTTGATTAAAGTTGAGGGACCATTGCTACAATTTACTCATGGTGTAATCATCAACGTTGGTAATGTCGTGCAATCACATTCAAGTATAATACCTACTTGACAGTGTATTAAGGACGTCCACAACGTAAACACCAACATTATTAACAACTTCTTCTCTTTCTTTTGACGAGAATTAATAGCTTCATTTTGTGTTAATATTGTTTGTTCAAAAAAAAAAAAAATTTACCATTGTTTGTACCATACTTGCCTAATTCCAAAACTACTAAGCACCAGTCAACTTCATACCTTCAAGGGCCCACTGAGAGGTTCATGCTGAGGCACCCATGTTGAAGCACAAGAGTTTCCCTTCACCTAGGAGGCCAATCACATCACAATACATGTCAACAGCAGAATAAAGCTCATAGAGTCCCACATTGACCGCGAACAAAAGCTGGAAACTATCCTCCACTATAAAAGAAGACCATTATTTTACAATTAATCCCTAATGTCATTATTGTTGACACATTCCGACCCTTAATGTCCACCTGGACTCCAAATCGAGCTGTGCTGGCCGACACCAGAAGGTGACGAAGCCATAATGTACAGCGATGTGAAAAATGTGAATAAATTTAAACCTCAAGGTGCCTAAAGGTAGGAGTGCGCATGTGAGTAGGAATGAATCTATTTCACACGTGATGTTAGAGCATAAGTACAGTACATTAAGGTAGGATAAAATTTATACAGTTGAGAGTACTTCCATAACAACGTTTTGCCATAAAGTCCTTGTCGGCACGAAAGTTCTGCTACTAAAACTTGGAGGGCAGAAAAAACAAGGGTGAGTGGGCCTAAACATAAAGCATTGTAAAACATTTTCAAAACATAATAAGCCCTCGCCGTAAAACAAGTATAGTTTCCAAAATATACATACTACGTATAGTATGAAAATACTTACCGTAGCCTGCAATATCTTAAGAATTCAATACATCACAATATTACGTAAATAAACATCTAACATTCGGTAATCACATAATCTCGCATAAACAAACATATCATATCGAGTGCTCATCGACATATGCTAACACACTAGTTCATGCAGAGATATTCTGACATGAGTAAGACTTGGTGTAATAATGATATACGCTATAGTACTACAATCACGTGAAGATTGGCGTTATGCGCATCACATACAAGTCCTAATTGCCTATAGCAATCTAGGAAAGGACTAGCACCTACAATGGATTCAAAGTGAGCATACGGTACGATGTGAACATAACGTGAAAGACTAGCCCTGGCCAGGGCGATTACTAACACTAGTGCAGCAACGATAAGCAGATAACGTAAATAAAATCATACAATGGTAAATCAATAATTTACGTCGACATAATACTATTCATTGCCGTAAATATAAATAAGGTATCCCGTAATAATATGCATACATGTGCGGATCATAGGATTCATAATAATCTCATAATTGATCATCATGACAATTCTTATAACGTCAATTTAATTATGGTATCACTTAGAAAATGCATTATAATCTATGTATGGAAACTCAAATAATATATATACTATATAAAAGAAAAGACCTACTCACAGATACTTGCAAAGTCGTAGCCGTTCATACGAGTAAATATGGATTGCCGATGTTAATTGTACCTAAGTATAATAGACTCATTAGTAAAACTCAATTAAAACATTTGAATTTGGAGAAATTGATGGCAAATTTGGAATCAGAGCATCGAAATGCCCTAAGGGGGTTCCGGGTAAATTTTATAAAAAGTCAACGAAAATATCAACGGTCAACCCTAAAAAGTCAATAGATATGCCGAGTCGGCCAACTACGATAAATCTTTAGAATTTGACTAAATGGATGTCAAAAACGGACTTGGGGCCCGAGAAAATTCTTCAAAAGTCAACACAAGGAATATTCCAACGAATAATATTCCCAAATATTCTGAGCCCATTTCGGAACTGGGCTAGGTTAGAACATTGGCCCAAAGGTTTAGGCCAGGTTTGGGTTTAGGCCCTTTTTTTTTTCTGGTCGGATCGATTCGGTCCCCGTCGCGGGTCTGGTTGTTGGAATTTGGGCAGTGAACCAGAGCTCTAAACGAGCCCAAAACTCAATCATTTATCACTGTCCACCTACCAAAATGAAGATAAACGAGTGTAAATTAGGATTATACCTTTCCCCGGATCAGTCATGGCCAGAGTTCACCGGAAAAGGCCTACAACTTGTGGCATCCCTCGCCTTAAATTGGGTTTGTTAACTCTGCGTCTTTTTTGCATCTAATCATGCCAAAACACTCATGAAATAAGTTAATCTTAGTCAAAAGGCTAGTGGAAGACAATTTGAATGGTCTAGAACTTTACCTTCTGTCAAGAATAGCGATAATTTGCCATGATTCGTTAGGGAAAACGATGAACAGTGATTGTCACTATTTAGAGTGAGAAGCCAACTCCAAGCTCGGCCCTTCGTTTCTGGTCATATAAACAGGTAGTGATGATAGGATGTGGATGTTGAAGTCTCACCGGGATGGTGATGGTGGCTCGATGTCTGCGCTTGCAAAGGAATGAGAGGGATGAGAGAGTGGAGAGAGAAAGAATCTGAGGGAGATGAGAGCGAGAGAGACTAAGAGAGAGAAAGACAGTGTTTAAAAAAAAAACTAGTGAGAGGAAATGAGGTGGCAGCAAAAGAGGTCCAAAATTTCTAGAAAGGGACCCGGGACAAAGGAGGAGTGGTGTGTGGGCCCCACGTGGCTCACAAAACAAGACACAAAATATCTTTCCAATATAAAATTACCATTTTGCCCTCGATATTCAGTGTTTCGTAAAATATTCGTTATAACTTCAAATTCAATTATGTTTATGCCCACACGTTCGTACCATCGAGTACAACACAAATACACTAAAAGTATGAGTCATACGTCTCTCTAAACGATGGTCAACGAAAATCAAAATCCTTACCTCTAGGGGCATTTTCATCAATTCACTCATTTAAAATTAATAAAATCGTAAAATTAGGGACGGGTTGTCACAATTATACTTAAACTAGTCATTAGAACCCACTAATGATGATTATGCTTGAAACTATGTATTTGCGTAAACCCTTCACTATTAATGAGAACTCTTATACTCAGTGAACGTGGCCGAACTTAGGGTGAACCACGTACATCTTGTGTTTGCTTCCCTATCTCTATCTCTTTACACATTATCATCACTAGGTGACCGGAGCAACTGAGCGAAGGTCACCAACTTCACATTTTACGTTATTCCAAAGTCTCGCTGATGTTGTACATCAACAACCATTATTACTTAACCTCGTGTAAACTTAAATTATTATAGTTTAACTTTTTTAAGAGTATCACTACCGTTTTTTTATTTGAAGGGTACCATAGAATTTCACATAATGATTAATGCATGCCAACATATATTTCAAAATTCTAAATTGACCTCGGCTCAATAAAATCTGAATATTCCAAAACTATAATGAAATTTTAATTCTGAATATTTTTTTTTAACTGAACATAAAAGCTTTATTTTCAATCCGATCGGCTTGAAAATCAACCTGGATAAGTTAGAGCTAGTCATTCTGAACATGGCACAACTTGGGGTGAAATTTTCTACCAAATTATCAACTGTATCATACTAATTTGTACTAAAAATTTGTGTCAATTAGTAATGCTGCTAGATTTGTATCAAACCGTACATATTTGGTATGGTATTTTTATTCAAAACTATTACCAATAGTATACAGTACCAAAATAGTATTATATAATGTTTTATAATATATTTACCATTTATATATATAGTAATTATTAATAATTAAATTCTCTGTTTCTTTTCGCGATAGAAACTAAGAAATTCAACCCTCTCGCACAACATCTTTCTCATCTCATGTTAGCGACACACATACACACACACACTCTCTCTCTCTCTCTCCTTCTCCCTCCTTTGGTGTCGTTGCTGCTCTCTCTCCTCTGCGGATCATCTCATCTTCTCCTTCATTGAAAAATAAGTTTTGGCCCTTAAATTTAACTTAAACAATCAATTTTTGGCCCAAAAAGAATTGCCCACTAACAAAGTGACAAAATCATTACCATATACGAAAGTATTGCACGATAATAGTAATAAATTTTGTCATGCTAAATGTTTGGTAGGTTTTGATACAGTAATCATGCTGGACTCAACTCTAGCACAATTCTTCAACAGTAAGCCATATTTTATGGTGTTAAGCCTCCTTTTCTTCTCATTTCATTTTTGTCTTTCGTTGTGCAAGTTGCTTACTTTTTCCAATTCAAGTCACATCCACCATGCATTATTGATTCAAAGGAAATTTCATCATGCATACTATGAAAAAATAATAATAAACACACTTTTTTGCTCTTACACATACTGTTTAATCAAGCTCTTTGTTATTGTTTTATTTATTCAATTCAATGACCAAAAATTGAGATGAGTCTATAAAACCAAGCTTTTCATCTCTACTTCATTTTCTTGGCGTGTACAGAGAATAAGAGAGAGTTATTGGTTCTTGTGTGGTGTTACGGGACTCCAGTGGCATTTGAATGCTGGGTTTGCTGTTAATTTTGGTCATGGTTCTGTGTTGCTTGCCCGAGCTAGCCAGTCAATTCTGCCATTTTCTTGCTTGGTGCGTTGCAAGCTGAGTTAGGAGCGATTTTATATGAATTAAGAATGGCTTTTCTACAGAATTGGTTTACCTCTTATTCTAAATTAAATTACAGTGTATACGCTTGATGAGTTAGCTTGTCATCATTTGCCCCTCTCTTTAACTTGGTGGCTTCTATAAATCTTAAATGCATGCTGGCTTATGTAGGGTTCAGCAACCTTCTAGGAAAAAGAACTATGTTGCGGATAAATTAACAGGAATTGGTGCTTCTATGGAGTATAGTTGTCATACTTCAAAGGCTCCTCCAAATGATGTTGGTGATTTAGTTCACGAAGATTTATGGGAGGATGCTAGACCCAAATTTGTTTAATTGTTTTTGTGTGTTTCTGGCTGTAGACCTTCCTTTGTACCAAAAAAAAAAAAAAAAAAAGAATAAGAGAGTTTTATTTTCTAAGTCTTGAGAAGAAAAAGAAATTAAAACTTACACTGATCACTTAGTATTACAGTCTAATTGTATTCATTTTCACTTGTAAGTGAGAGGTCTTAGGTTCGATTCTCGCCAAAGGTGAATTTGAACCATATTATTGCTAGTTTATTGTGAGACTAAACTCACATCAGTCCCCATTAGTGTAGATAATATTGTGTGTTAAAAAAGAGTAGACTTTAACTCAATTGGAGCAATAATCCATCAACTAAAAATCTATTACCTTTGGTCTCTCAATTCAATAAAACGTGTAGCTATGGTCCCTCAACTAAAAATTAATTACTATTGGTCTCTCAACTTTAATCCACCTGGAGAAATTATTCCTCAACTTTAACCCAATTGAAGCAATGATCCCTCAACTTTAACCCATTGTAGTAATGATCCTTCCAACATAACTTGTTTTGACAAATTCTAACAAAGTTGATGAAAATGACCATAGCTACACTTTTTGATAAGTTGAAGGACCCTAATTATAGCAATGATCCTTCTAACATAACTCATTTTGACAAAATTTTGACAAAGTTGACGAAAATGACCATAGCTACACATTTTGATGAATTGAGAAATTGATAGGATTTTTACTGCTTATGTGAATGCGATAAAAACCTCCTATTTTACTTGCAAGAATCACAAGGTTATTGTAGTATAAACGGATCTCGCAAGGTCATTCTCCACAGGGATTATTAAATAATTCGAAACAAATCAGATTCCAATTAATGATTGTAAAGTAGAAATTTAGATGATTGATTTTATAACCTACTTAAATTAAAAACGAATTTAACTATTAATGATAAGACAATCTGCAATATTAAAACTAGAGAGAAAAGAAAACAGTTTTGAGAGAAATCAAATTAAGAAAGCACTAGGGTTCCACCATCACCTAACAATCCTATGAATTTTTACCAATTACTTATGATCTACACATGCCACTTTGAAGGTTAGATTTTCCTAATTCATATTCTACTTGGAACCTCCAACATAGAACGTATATCTAACATGCAACCCGTCCGGACGTTCGGATCAAATATGAACATGAAAGACTCATTATGCTTTATGAAAATCCTTTGAAAAACCATGCAATCCTTAAGACGTGATATTCATCCTAAGCGAAATTACAATTATTAATCACAAGAAGCCAGCGTCAATTTCAGGGAACCTTCCGACCAAAATTGCATCAAATTACTTTTCTAAAGATCATAATGGTGATCAGGCATTAAAACAATTAGATAGTTTTTATCACGGTGATTAACAATTCAAAGTACGCATGCAATCGATCATAAGAAATTAAATAAAAATCACATATTCATGCTAAGGCTCAAGGCTTCGCCCTAGCAAAAGAAATTAGTTCCGCATATTCATAATTGAAATCATAGAAAATATTCTTAAGAAAAGGATTGAAAACACCTTCAAGTAGAAAATCTTCAAAACCCTAGCACCTATCTTTGTCTCCAATATTGCATAAAATAAAGCGTAGTCTAAAAACTGTAGACGGCCAAGCAATATATTTGCTAAGCCTCCACACAAACCCTAGCAAACTAAAATTAATAAAAACCCTAAATAAAAATAATAAAATTCGTCTAAAATCTGAACAGCCACGTTTTGGCCCAAAAGCTGCTCCAAAACTGGCCCAATATAGCTGGATTTGATGTTTGGAATATTCTGAACACTTTTTCAGAAGGCCACGAACCCATCCGAGGTCATCTTGGGCTCCAAAAACGCAATTTAAGCTAAAAAACGTCATTTTCCAGCACTGCACACTGCTTCTTTATTTCATCACCAGAAAATAACCGCTTGGTGAAAAAATCCAAAATTTTGATACGATCAAGCTAAGTGACTCACGAACGTCCTCCAATTGGAATTACTCCAAAATTCGTCCATTTGGTCCTGTTTTGCTCCAGAGGAAGTCGAAAGTCCTATATTGAAAATACAATTCAAAGTATCAAAATTCTTCCAATATATTAACCAAAATATACTAAGATTAGGGTAAAATATATAATATAAAATCTACTCATCAGAAACCATTTTTCTAATTTGATTTAAATTGAGAGATCATTGTTACAATTTACTCTAAAAAACATAAAAATAAAAAAATAAATTCACATGGACACACTCTCTCTCACCAAAACCGGTCATGGGGCCTTTTGGGCCTTACCTCCAAGTGAGCTCGATTGCCTGGATTAATCCCAAAACCATTTTGAGGCCCAATTATGGCATTTAAGAGCTAATTAATCATATTAATTATTCCACCATTATGTAATTTTTGGGTGTGCGACCCCTCAGGTTCTAAGTGATCAAACTCCTCTAATCGTTATGCGAATTTAAAACTATCTTCTAATTCCCTTCTTATTATTATTCTCAAAGTCTCGCAGACTTTGAGTGATGCTTGGCTGCATATTATGAATGGTACTTGCATTTCCGCTAGGGAGATGCATTTATTCTCTTATTTGCAAAGAACGTACATTTTCCGTAGAATTTTTATAATTAGAACCGTTCAATT